GCTTTTTTTTTAAACCAGTTAGTGATATGATTTATGTCCAAAACTGATATTGTATCTAATAAAACTCTTTGTAATTTGAATACTTGTCCCGATCCTCTGTTAACTGGTTTATCTTTTTGGTATATATGGTTCATTGTGGTTACGGATCTGGTTGACAAGTAATTATGAGAAAAGGGTAATTTAAATAGTTTGGATCTCTCTCTGGATTTCTATTAGTACTGCAGCACCGCATGGGGGCTGGGCACAAAAATGCTGTTTAACTGCATATATTTTTTTTAAAAAGGACATTAAAAGAAATAACTATGTAAATATTGCTAACTAAGGCTTGTATTCCCCTAAAGGGGAAAATAGATGAGCACATGTCCAGACTCCAGACCACTGTATACTGTGGCACAGCTATATCCAATTCTGCATACCTAGCTTTATATTAAAAACTAATATAAAGCCAGTTATACAGAATTGGATATAGCTGTGCCACACTATACACAGTGTTCTATAACTTATATTATAGACATTGAATGAACTGAATATTTAGATCATGCCTCGCCGAGCGTCACTGCTGCTCCGGTGGCCGGAGCTCCAGGTGGGGTCCCAATTTAGGTGGCCTGAGACCGGAGCTCCAGGTGGGGTCCCAATTTAGGTGGCCTGAGACTGCCAGATGACCCCGCTTAAAGCGCCGCCTCCACCCGAGCAGCAGTGACATGATGCTCAGCGAGATAAGAAAAAATAAAACCCGCAGCGGCGAGTCAGCGCTGGTCCGGCGAGAGGAGCTACGGGTGGGATTCTAATTTAGCTGGCTGGCACCTCTGAGCCAGCTAAATTAGGACCCCATCTGGAGCTCCTCCAACCGGATCAGTGCTGACTCGTCGCTGCTCTCTCCGGTGTTCGAACAGAGTGAGCGAGGGCAAATGGGGGGAGGGGGGCACTATTTAGCAGAGTGTATTTGTAAATCTATTGTCTGCACTGTATTAGCAGTATATACTCTATGTACTACCTAGAGTCCTCTGAGCCAGCTAAATTAGGACCCCATCTGGAGCTCCTCCAACCGGATCAGTGCTGACTCGTCGCTGCTCTCTCCGGTGTTCGAACAGAGTGAGCGAGGGCAAATGGGGGGAGGGGGGCACTATTTAGCAGAGTGTATTTGTAAATCTATTGTCTGCACTGTATTAGCAGTATATACTCTATGTACTACATAGAGAATACACTGCTAATACAGTGCAGACAATACATTTACAATTCTACTCTAACATGAATGGATAAAATGATCTGTATGTAGCCCTGTACTATGGATCATTTAGCCCATTCATGTTAGAGTATAATTGTAAATGTATTGTTGCAGGCACTCCATGTACTGTACATGTACTATATACTACATATAGAATGCACTGCAACAATAGATTAACAATTATCCCCTTCTAATATGAATGGGTTAAATTATCCATAGTACATGATATGTAGCCCTGTACTATGGATCATTTAACCCATTCATATTAGCAGAGGATAATTGTAAATCTATTGTTGCAGCGCATGCTATATGTCATAGTACTTGTACATATAGAGGGCCTGCAACAATACATTTACAATTATACACTGCTAACATGAATGGATTAAATGATCTATATGTAACCCTGTACTAGGGATCATTCAATCCTTTCATGTTAGCAGAGGATAATTGTAAATGTATTGTTGCAGGCACTCTATATGTACAAGTACTATGACATATAGCATGCGCTGCAACAATAGATTTACAATTATCCTCTGCTAATATGAATGGGTTAAATGATCCATAGTACATATGTAGCCCTGTACTACGGATCATTTAACCCATTCATGTTAGCAGTGCAGAATTGTAGATCTATATGTACTGTACATATACAGCACAAATGTCCCGTACATTGCAGCATTAGATTTACAATGATCCCCTGCTAAATGGGTTAAATGATCCATAGTACAACTACATGTTATGTACCATTATGTACTCTGGATCATGATTATACATATGCATGTTAACAGGGGAGAATTGTAATTCTATTACTGCAGTGTACGGGACATATGTACTGCGGATCATGATTTAACCCATTCATGTTAGCAGGGCAGAATTGTGAGCGCCTCCCACAAGCTGAGCACCGAGACGCATCGCTCCACTACACTCCAGCAATAGAGAGTTACAATTCTCAGCTGCTAACATGAATAGGTTAAATCATGATCCATAGTACAGAACATGTAGTTGTACTATGGATCATTTAAAGTCACCTGTCCCTTTAAGAAAAAGTATTGGTATTTGGTATCGGCAAGTACATGCGGGGAAGTACTTGGGCCTGAAAAAGTTTTCAGTTATTTACAATCAGCGATCACGGGGTGTTTGTATTTGCTCTCCATCCTGGATGGGCTCTTACAAGAAGCTGAGCGGGCGATGAGGGGGAGGAGTCAGCTGACAAACGAGATGAGTTCCCCGCACTGCACATTAGCCGCCTGTAAGCCGATCCAGGAAGGAGAGCAAGTACACTCAGCGATCACACAAATACACCGCTCTGATCGATTACAGGAGGACCGAGTAGGGCGGTGGGGGGAGGATAGCTCCTCCTGTGACACGCTTGCAGCGCTCCGAGTTTCTGTACTCTCCGCTGGACACTGCGCCAGAAACAGAGCAGCGGACAGCGGGGAGGAGAGTGAAGGAAGCACCACAATTTCTGCCAAAAGATGAAACTTTCGGCATTTTGCACAGTGCCAATTTCGATATGTTTTGGCGGCCGAAATTTCAGGGCATCCCTAATGGACACTGTAGAGAAATCAGTTTCCAAAAGAACTGCAGCCAGTTACCTGCATTTGCTCTTGGGCACTTGAAAGGCAATTCTCCAGGTTTTTGATTTCTCCTCTGAGTTCTTCAACTACAGCTGCAAATGAAAGAACATTGAGTATTCATGTAAGGGTTTAATAAAAAGGAAAAAAAAAAAATGTAAAGCCAAGCCACATGACATACCCTGGGTTTGGTTTAGTTCCCCTGCCAAAAGTTCATTCCGAGCTGCTACTTTATGATTTTCCTCTAAAACAAGTCCGGACTGAGAAAATAAACCAATCCTTTGGACTTCTAACAGTTAACCCACGCACTGCAAGGGTTAACTGCTAGTTTTTCCTCTAGGGTCTTAAATAAAAAATAAATAACCAGATTTTCGATCCAGGGGCAGTGACAACTTACGTCTCTCCACCTCTGTTCCAGCGATAGTATGTCCCTGGGCATCCCCCACATCTAATACACTGTATTAGATGTGATGAAGCCTTAGACAGCTAGAGACCAAAAAAAGAAAAAAAAATGTAGGGACTGGTCTTGCAGCCAAGCTGGACTGATGATCTGGTGAGTGTCTTTTAGACCCTAGACCAAAACGAGCATTTAACCCTTGTAGTGAGGGGTAGTACCACTGTAAGGGCTAATATTTTCATAAGCCCGGAGGTCTAACATATTTTCACCTGGTAATCCTGGAAATATTCGTAGCTACCAAGGGACAAACTAACTATTTAACTATCTATGGATAGGCTGCCCAGGCTCGACTTCAAATATGTCTGCCTTTGCTCATCTCCATTACATGGTGGATGGGAAGACTAGTATCTTACAGAAGATAGATTACATTCTATTAGTTTTCAGAACTCTTCTGGTAAGATCAACAGGTATTTTCTGTATTTGCTGAAGATGCCCTCAGCTTTAAAAATAATACATTAAATGCAGCTACCACATTTACCAGGACCAGTAAACGGCAATATTTAAAATTTTTGCTCTGCACTTTAGGCAACTTTAAAATTGCACACAATGTTCAGTGTTTTAATCTTTAAAAAAAACATTGAAAGTCTGTTTTACACGGCAAGACATTTTGCACAGTGAATGCAATGCTATCAGTCAGCTGGCTCAGACTTCGATGAGAAGTTTTCTGTAAAAAAATAAGTCAAGGCAACTGGACTTGCTGTATTTTCTTGATGTTTCACTGGTCATCCAACCAGCTTTCTCAATTCAGAATGACTTGTGCATCTGCCCCCCGCCCCCCCCATTCAAGCTTGGCTTCTCCATTTTTACATAAATTGCCTCTTTCACACCTCTTTAAACCAGTTCTCCCTGTGACTTTTTCTTTTAGATGTAGGTATACTGCTGAATCCTGACCAGAGGGCTTGGCTTTCTATGCTGTGCCATATGCTGGTGTAGCTGCTGTTTAGTTTCACCGATATACAATTCTGAGCACTCCTCACTGCACTGGACTGCATACACAATGTTCATCTTGCTTTGGCGTTGGGTCTTTTGGGTGAACCAGTTGTTGCCTCTGTGTATTGCTGGGTTTAAAGCAGACAGGGCTGTGATGTTTAAAAACAAAAAAAAAAAACTTGAGTTTCTCAGACACCCCAGCTACATATGGGATGACCAATTTCTTCCGTTTGGCATGCTTTTCACCCTAACTGGTACTCTTGGCATTCTTTCCTTTTTTCTGTTTTGACAAAAGCCCAGTCTGGATACCGGCAAGTAGTATCCCCCCCGGGGTGTTTGAATTCCTTCATCTTGGCCTCTGTTCTGGTGGGAACTTTCTCTGTTCTGTGGTGTAGTGTCCGGATGACTCCCAGTGTGTGGTCTGGAGGGTGGTGGGAGTAAAATAGTAGGTACTGGTCCATGTGTGTTGGTTCAGTAGATCTCTATTTCCAGCCACCTTCCCTCTTCTACTGTTACTAAACAGTCCAAAAAAGCCAGTTTGTTGTTCTGCATATCTTCCCACAAACTTGATGGTATGATCCACTGAGTTGATATGGTCAGTGAAAGCCTGTAACTCTTGTTTGTGAATCATAACCCAAGTGTCATCCAAATATCTGAACCAATGACTGGGTGGAATTCCCTTGAAAGTGGTCAGGGCCTTGCTTTCTACTTCCCCCATGTACAAGTTTGCTACAATAGGTGAAACTGGCGATCCCATGGCAAAGCCATGTTTCCACCTGTAGAACTTGCTCGAGTACATGTCCAATAAGGCACACACTTGATCTGGGGTAAGTTCTGTTCTGCTGCCTAGGGTGTTGTCTAGTAGCAACCGTTTTCTCACTGTTCCAATTGCCTCTGTGGTGGGTATGCAGATGAAGAGGGATCTGAAATCATAGGATACCATTGTTTCTTCTTTGCACAATATTAAGTTCTTGAATTTGTTTGTGAAATCCTGGAGTTCTGTATTGCCAAGGACTTTGGCTAAGTATTTTGCGACATTACAAGTCAGAGTTTATGCTGCTGACAATTGGCCTGAGAGGGGTCCCATCTTTAGATACACGGAGGGGCTTCACCAGGGTAGAGGCGATGATACATAGCCTGATTAATGGCTTTGTCCTTTTCCAGCTGTTGTAGTAGATCTATAGCTTTATTCTTGTAACCACTGGTTGGGTCCCTTCTTAGGGCTTCATGTGTTATCCTTCAGAAGTGCAGCCACCTTATCATCGTAGTCAGATGATATAAGTAAAACTGTGCATCTTCCTTTAATCAGCAGGCAGGATGGTGATGCTCTTGTCTTTCTTCAGGGATGTAACCGCCCTCCTTTCTTCTGTAGTCAGGTTTGACGGAGGTGGTTTGACACTGGTCAGGACTGCAGACACTTTAAGGCGAAGCTGTTCAGCCTCACCCTGTGGCACTTGGTTGCTGTGGATCGAGGCCTCAGTGGCTGAGATAATATCCAATATAGGGATGGTTCTGGGTGCGATAGCGAAAATCAACCCTTTAACATCCATCTCGGGCTTGGTGAGAACTGTCTGAAGGTTCTTCACCCATTTCTCTTTGTTCTGCAATGTCCCCCTTTCCTCCTTCTGCCTCCAAGTTAGCTCCTCCCTAGTATGGCTGTTTCCAGTTTGGGATAACAAAATGGAGAACTACTTATGTTGCCTCTCCTTGCCCTTAGTGTGCTGAGCTAGCTATGCATGTACCATGAAGTCTGTTGTCCTCCAAATATCAGCAGGTAGCTGAAAAAACAGGCTCTCTTCTAGTTGATTGATAGTAGGTTTTAAGGCATCAACTGTGAAATGGGTCTGATGTACACGTTCATTTAGCAATTGTTTCTGGGCCTTATGTAGCATCAGCTTGGCTTTGTGACCCTTTACTGTGGAGTCACAATGTATGCTGCAAGGTACCAACCCCTGTTGTCAGGATCTGAGGTTAAAGCACAGGTGGTTTCTATAGTCTGCCAATTTTCTTGCTGTCTTTTCATAGTCTCGTACAAGTTTAAAGGGTTTCGTCCCCAAAATGTGTCACAATATGGCTGTGAAGGATACACATACAATGCTGTATTAACACCTCTCTGGGCAGGTTATTAACACCTCCTAGACTCCAATTATGCAAATGCAATCAACACCTGTTTGCAACTAACAGATTATTCGGATTGGAGCAACGTTCACCATATTTATTCCCAGATAATTTTTGTACAAGTCATTCTGAATTGAGAAAACTGGTTGGATGACAAGTGAAACATCTTCAAGAAAAATGCAGTAGGTCCAGTTGCCTTGACCCATTTACAGATATACCATGACCTGGATAAATGAGAACCGTCAGACATTATGAGAAGTTGCAATTCCAACTAAAGAGAACTATACAGTCTATTGCTGCAGTGAGGGGGAGCTGCATACATCAAATAAAACTTGCATTGTTGTTGTGGGCTCCATTTTGGAACAGACTCCTAGAATATAAAGAGATTTGTCCGGGGCATGACATCACTAGGAGTATCTTCCAATACCTACCGAGAAGAGAGTCGTTTTCTTTAAGCGATTCTAAAGCTGCTTTCGATGTAGCCAAACTTTTCTGCATTGCTTCAATTTGTTCTTCAAAGCTGGCTTGAAGACCGATAATCTCCTGCAATTAGCACATTACACTCTGAACAAGTTTCAACAATTTGACACAAGACTTGTAAGAAAAATTAAAGACGCAGCCACTGCAGTGACGTTAGCAGTCTGCATAAAACTTACAGCTTAAAAGCTCATACTGGCTGTCACAAAAACATAAATTTCTACTCATTTCTTTTCGTGTATTAGTGGGCAGTATTAGAGACTGCTCTGTTGGGGTTAAAGCAAATAATGCACTGAAGCATTAAAAGCACTGGAGGCCTAACAGGTCAATTTTACAATTGACCATTCAGCCCTTAGATTCCATTGTCATGGGGTAAAGCATCTAAAAGCCAAAAAAAATATTTTTTTTTAAATCCTTGCAAGAGTGTGCGCATATGTGGGTTAGAACCGCCATCAGGTACATATTGCTGACACCATTTTTCCTGGTGGCCATCATCTTCAGGACCAAGTCAGGGAAAACCAAAATGTTCCCAATGATGAAACTAGTTTCAGACAACTGTTTAATAGTGGGGGACACTAGTGATTAACACCTCCATTGGGGGTTTACCGTTAAGAAAGCTAAATTGAAACCGATGGGGGCGGGTGTAAAAAAAACGCACACACTTAACAGGGGTTTAAACCATTCCATACACTACCCAAAAAGTTTTTTTTGTAGCTTTAGAAACATTATAAAGCAGAAATCCAATAAACTACTGTATAGCAAGCTATTAGATGTACTTCTGTTCAACCAACTTTGCATATCTGGGCAAAACTGTGCAACGCTTTGATGTGCCAAACGGTGGGTTATAGGGAGAGGAAAAAAAAACCCCGCACAGAACAATCAGCTCTGTAGGCTACCTTAGGATAGCCCCTTCTACTAGCAGCACATTTCAGTTTGACAGCAAATAAGTACGGAGAGCATCATAAACAGAGGGATGAGACCTGGGTCCCTCAATGGACTTCAAGAAAAAGGAAGTTATGAAGAGCACAAAAAAATCTAAACATTTTAAACCGAGGAAAACAGGAAGTTATTCACGTTCGAAGTCTAATAGCAGTCCAAATAAAGGGGTAGGAGAACACTGAAAATACACACCAACAGGCTGTAGAACAGAAAAATGGGGACTGCCTGAAGCTCTGGAGCTGCCAGAAGGACCCTACACTTGAAGCGGTCATCAGATGAGGCCTAAACATGCACCTTGTAGAACTTGCAGAATATGTGAACAGAGGATGATGCGGCAGCCATGCAAATCTGGGAAACACAAGCTTGGATGATGTTCTGTCTTAATCACCTAGAGATAGTAAAACAAGAAGCTAGGGTCCCCCTATACAGGAGGGAGCCTGGATGACAAAGGGAAACTTCATTTTAGTAAACTGAAGCAGGAAAGAGGGATGAAAAATAGCTGGTGTCCTGGTTGGCTGCCTAGTTGGGATGAGGGAATACACAGATGCTGGGCATTACAGTGTATGTCACAGCTGTGCTCCCACCCTTCGGCAGTCTCCACTGGCCTTGAGCTTATGTTTTTATGCTGGGTGTTTTCATCTTGGTGCGGAATCATTAAGCCTCCCTTCTGAGGGAGCTTAATAGCTAAACGCATTAAACCATCTGTGGCACTGTTTATCCACGTATTATGAAGTTACCATATGTAGCAAACCAACTGACATGAAAAAATAAGTTGTCAATGAACTTGAGAACTATGGGGTAACCTTTTTATCCCATGGTTCTCTAGGGTCACGGGAGGACATATACCAACATCCTCCCGTGACTCAAAACTCAGTATAGCGGGCTATTGCCACTAATATGCTGAGTGCCCCAGCTGCTAGGACAATAGCAAAATTGAGTCATGTGGGTAGTGGAGGTAGTCTTGGGCTGGCCTACATTTTTTTTTTTTTTATTGGATTGCCAGCCTTCAGTCCTGTAGGTGGCAGTATTACCCAAAGGTAAATAACTTTCTATGTTCCTCAATAAGAAATGAAACTGCTATCCATATTTATATGTAGCAACCCACATGTAAAATTGCAAAACATTAAAATATCTTTAAACAAAACCTTCATTTGGATGGAATGGGGGAAGTGTTTAGACCCACTGAAGTTTGTATTGCTTTTTGTTCCTATATTGTGAAGATTCACCACTCCTGATGGCTTGTCACAAAGACAGAAAACCCACATTTTTGAGCTGTCCCTAGAACAAGAGATGAGGGTAAATCTTCTAATGGGGACACCGGTCTAAGAGGGAGAGGTTCTTCATTTTGGGAGATCGTATGGGGTAACTGATCGTTACCCAATACAAGCAATCTGCCGGCTCTACAGCCGGCGGATCGCTTTTATGTTAACAGGCATCACTGCCTGTTTTTAAATATCGGGCATTTTTTTACTACGACCGGCCCGGAGGTAGTTAAACAAAAACAAACTTAAAATACAAACCTTGTCCTTTGCAACCAGTCTATTTTTAGCTTCCATTAGTTCCTGGCACAGGTTGTCAATTTTCTTTTTCGAGCCGTCATCAGAAAACTAGTAGGGGAGAAAAAAAAAATAAAAAAAAACCCATTACCTCAATTTTATGACCCCTTACTTTGGGGCATCGAGGTTGACCAACACAGATTAAAACAAGGCGGATAACAGTATAGTCTTTACTAGCTTTTTACTGCCATGGGACTACTGAGCAGGTTACACATTTTATCTGAATTGTACTATAATACAAAAGCATATGAAAGTCAAAGGGCTCATACACAGAGGTGCAAGTGCAGGCACATCGCAAAATATGCCTGCATTTGCTATGTCTGGGAGCCCCAGCTCCTGGGTTTTTCTGTTCATAGAAATGTATGGATTGAAAACTATTCTCTGTACACAGGGTATACAGTGATACCGGCTTTTTACACACACATTGATACATGTGCTCAAATACAAAACTTCCTTGTTTAGGTTGTTTAAGACCTCAAGTCCATGACCAGTGATTATGTGTGTGCACAGATAAAAGGGAAACCAACACAAAAAAGTGGGTCCCTGTGAAGGACCATTCAGTCCACATAGTAAGTCAAAAGGGCTAGCATTTTTACCCATTAGAGGTGAGGGTATAAAACTTCAGGACTAAGGGAGGCTCCTAGCCAGACAACCAGGCTGGATATGCATGGCAACCCCCCCAAGGGTTTAAGAGACCCATAAACAGAGCACACAGGTCCAACTCCACTAAGTCAATACAAAAAAATAAATAAATGCCACAAGGGTCGTCAAAAGACAAGGCAACTAGGCCATAGCCCTAAAACAGGTGAGATGGGGAATGACAAGGGACAATGGATGCAAGTTAAAACAAATTGTGATACTCCTGCAGGCCGAAAAAATTCCGGCGAGACCCGCCTATCCCTTAAAGTGACATTAAACCCTCAGATTTTTTAACATAAACCAATAGTGTAATGTGTGCCTTACTGTAATCCATGGTAGTTTCCCTTCTCTTTGCTTCTCTTCCTTTTAAATCTGTATCTCTTTTCATGCTTGGGGAGAACTTCCCTTTGCAGCTGAGTGCCTCTTCCTGTAGTGCTGGCTCAGGTTGAGAACCTTCACACAGACACCATGTATCCATTTCAGAGATAAGGCAGTCTGCTGCAAAACAGAAGTTCTGCCCAGCATGAGAAGAGCTACAGATTTAAAAAGAGCAGCAAAGAGAAGGGAAACAACCATGGATTACAGTAAGGCACACATTACAGTATTGTTTTATGTTAAAAAATCTGAGGGTTTAATGTCACTTTAACCATGGACATGGAACTCAAAACTTCTGATAGCAGCAAATCCAATGAAGCATGGCCATTGTGGGGCAAAAGTACTAGACATCTTAGATGAGATGCTAAGAGCAACAGCCTGTTGCTTCCCCAGGGTGCTGCTAATCAGCCAGGGATGGAAGCCCAATTCTGCAGTGAAGTGGTTCCAAGAAGTCATCCGGACAGATACCTCTATCCACAGCGGGAGCATGCAGCAGGGGTATGACTTAAGCTGAACCAACATACCCAATGGAGACAGGTGGCCACCAACAGTAGAGCCCAAGGCGACTAAACCTAGCCAAGTCAGGACAACATAAGGAGTGCAGCCTACAGGGATCTCTAAAGCTGACTCGCTTAGTAGGGGAGACCCCCAAGCATGCCACAGTGGGGATGCTAGGACATGGCACTAGAATGAAGCCAGGAACCAATGATCCAGGGAAAAGAAACATCCAAGTAATACTGATCATCTAGACACTTGTCCAAGAAGGAAGCAGACAGACAGACAGAGTTGACCCTGGTTTACCTTAAAGGCTGGAATTCTTTTTGGAGAGGGGGACCCTGAGGGGTATTCTATAACATGGATGAAAAAAAGTCTCAGGCAAGGAGCCTTCCTACAGAAGAGGGCTCAGGCCAATAATAAAACGTCAAGACTAGTCCGGTTTAGATGGCCTGGGGGCACTGGTTGCAGAAGGGGGGATTCAACTGACATCTCCCTAGACCCTGTTCTGACATCCAGAAGCATTGCTGATCACGGTGTCCAGCTCAGGGCCAAAGAGACATCCCTCAAAAGGCCAACTGAATCAGATGCTCTTTGGATAGATCACCTGCATCCCAGCCACAAAGTTCTGAGCATTTGCATGGAAATCAGGAACATGTGCAACAAGCCATCACAACAGAAACAAAAAGCCCCAGACATTTTCCCTACATAACCACTGAAGCAAGCAAGTATCCACCTGAGCCGAGGGGGAAATACCTTTAGAAGGAACTAACCATCTCTGAAATAGTTTGACAGATTAGGGTGACTGGCAACACAGGACAAAGGGAAGAAGCAACTAGCTCATCTGGGATTTGAGGTATTCCAACAGTCTGCTTAGCTGTTCTTGAGTCTGTACAGGCATGTTGCTGCTACATAGCAGTAATGCCACTAAGCCAGGGGTGCCCATTAGGTCGATCGCAAAGCCAACGCTGGTATATCGCGATCGCAAGTCGGCTCAATGTCCTGAGCGCCCTCCAGCATTTCTTGTGCAGCTTAATGTGTGCTGCAGTTCCCCACATGACCTGAAGGTGGCGCATAGATCATGCAAAGCCTGTTCACAGTGCTGTAACCCTCCTGGCTGATAGAACCAGGAAGTATCTCCCAGATACAGCAGCAGGAAGCAGAGGAGAGGCTAAGCAGGCTGCATCCAGTCCATGGTACACTTCACCCAGCACAGCACACGGAGTACATTGGGACCGCCAAGGTACGGTGATCTGTGCACAGCCCTGCCTCCATGCAGCTATACCCACCCCACATAACAGTAGCTAAAACGATCAATGTGTTACTAGTTACTTCAGGTGTAGGGAGTTATTGTGTTATAGGAGGGCACTGTGGGCTGTCAGCATCTTTTATTATTACACAGCACCCCATCAGCTATCATGATATTTTTCCATCTTATTTACTTCACAGGATCCTTTCCAGTCTGGGGGCTTGTTCACACCACTTCGAGTGCGTTCCAGCACAGTTAGATGCTGGAATGCACTGGATCGCATACTGTAAGGCTCCTCGCGTTCTGGGGCGTGGTGTAGTAGTGCTTGTACTAATTTTTTGTGATCACATTAGACCAGAACAGGGCATTGATGTGCCACGCATTCTGGTGTGGTTAATTGCGCGGGCGTAGCTGCGGTGCTATTGACTTGAATGCACCGCCACTCCCACCCCAGAACGCCACTCCCACCCACAGGGAGTCTTACAGTATGCGCTCCAGCAGCTCGCCGTGCTGGAACGCGCAGAAAGTGGTGTGAACGGGCCCTGAGAATATTCTGCTTTTCTAATTTCCTGGCATGTCACCAGCCCTTGTGTGTTTATTGAACAAGCTGCCTAATCCCATAACTGCAAGGAGAGAGCGCCAGAGGAGAGAGAGGATTGAAATGTAAGAACCGTTGAAGCCGTTTTTTTTCATTGGTAGATCTTCTTGAGCTCGTCATTTGAAAAGTAGATCTCAAACACAAAAAAATGTGGGCACCCCTGCACTAGGCCATAAGTGTGAGGCAAGGCCTCAGTTACTCACAAGCCCAAGGCAGCTGGCACTAATGAGGGTCGAGCAGATATTGGAGGTCAATGAGAGACTGTGGCATCAGGGAAATGGGGCTATTTACAGGTACCTCAGAGTTGATTTCCAAGCAAAAGCTGTGAAAAGCTGAGCAGTTCTTGACAACTGCCTCAACCAGAACCCCAGATTATGAGCAGGAATAAAAAGTGGGGTCAAACAACTGCATCAATGGGTACATTTCCCATCCTGCCTGCTCAAGATCTGAGGGGAAACAAAATGCATCTAAACCAGCCCAAGTACACTGCAAAGCCTCCCCAAACTAATCAATAAAGTCAAATGTGTGTGGAATACTTAGCAAGGTAGTGGACCTATGACAAACTGACATTTCATAATTGCTACAAAGCCTTGTACTTCCAACTGCCATGAAACTAAATTCACCTTAGTTTTTAGCAGGTCATTCACTTTCCTCAAGTCAGCCATCTGTCTCTCCAAGGATGCAATGCCTGCACTGAGTGAAGTCTTCTCTCTCACAGCATTTACTAGTTTTAACTCTGTTTTTCTGAATTCTTCTTCCAAAGCTTGAAGTTTTTTGTCTTGCTCAGCACGTTCTTTTAAAAGGCCGCGAATCTAATGGGGGTGGGGAGAAAAAAAAAAAAAGTTTGACTCTGGTCCATATGGAATTCAAAAACACAATAGCCTCTTTTATACAAACCCTTTGAAAGATTGAAAGTTAATAGAGAATGTACATTCAAATCTGTGCAAGTTTTTGCTCATCAATAGGTCATCTTTTAGAGTCTATTCTATTTATTCTTCAGCCCAAGTGGGATATAAGGAAAGTGACAGTCTAAAGAGAAGTTATGTAATTATTCTCACTGAACATTACTTGTGGGAGCTAGTTTCCTTTTTGCCAGAACAGGGCAAATAGGACACATTTATATCCCCACGCTATCTAAAAGCCAAATTCACAGACTTAAACAGGCTCCAGTCCATCTTTGCATCCCACTGCTGTGAAAACTCACCCTTTTAGAGAGAAAATGGAATGCAACGTTTGAGTCAGCGCTACAAACTACTGCGAACAGCATGTGCAAGTTAATACTGACCAGCTCCATTCCCATTTACCCTCTTTAATCTAACCTTCACACCTGATGTGTGTAAATATTGACTAAGGGCCCAATTTATAAAGTAGGAGGTATAGCCTTACTAGGAACATAACACTGCTAACGAATTCACCCTGCAGCATTAAACAAATTCCATGGGACATCATGTTCTACATTTTAGAAATTACTCATAAAATGAAGGCCAGGGTGTGGAGCAAGCACTGCAGTATCAGAACTATGGTGCTGCTTTAAGTTAAAATTACATAGTATTTGGAATAAAGACATACGTCCATCAAGTCCAACCCAATGCCACAGTTTGAGCCCCCTATACATTAAAGTCATATTAAAGTCAGAGTTTAAGCTATTTCGGATGCTGATCAAATAATTTACGATGGATGCTGTTCCCTGATGTTTAACAATTTTAGTTTCCTGCAGAATCTGCTGGTCCCCCGAGCACTGGCCCCGATATCCTGTATTAAGGTGGCTCCTTTCCTTTGCATGGTCCTATGGAGCCACCCTTGTGTGCACTAGTAAGCTGTGTATGTCTCCACAAACACACGTGCACAAAAAGGGCAACACATTCCCTTCCTGCTCCCGTCCTTCTCCAAGCAAATAGATGTATGGCTGCTGGAGACTGTGCTGTCCTTTGTGATCTTGTACTGGACAGAAAATTTAGGGAAGCAGAGCTGAGAGTTAAAGCCGTTTAGAAACAGGATTGTAACCACTTGGACAAAAATGGAAAGAAATACATTGCTGGGCAATGTATATTTGTTTGATCTGGATGCATTATTCAAACTGTTTGAGAGCTCAATATTACTTTAAAACCAATAGCCGAACCCAAACATTGACTGTTCATCTGTACTGAACAATTGGGCATTCTGCCTCATCATTCATGGCAGAGAAAGTGGGGAAATTTAGAGCGTAGCAGCTAGATAATGCATTTCCTGTGTAGTTTTACTAGATTTCCCCATGGCACTCTCCCATGCTACTCTATAAATGGAACTGGAAGCTGCTATATTTGAGGTTTGTATTTACCTTTATTCAGGTGAAGCCAGAAAAAGCTGCACCTCTGAAATACTTGCCAACCCTACCTTGCATAGGCTCCTTATAGCCCTTTATATAGGATTTAGCATTTGCAAAGGCCAATCTGTGCATTTCTTGAAAAATCATTTGGAAGGAAATATTCAAGTCCCTACATTTGCAAATACAACATATGTTCCAGGCTCCTTCCTAAGAGGGAGGCGAGTTATATTCCATAAGCCAGTCAACTCATTACAAACATAAAACCAAAATTGAACGAAAGTGAAATTTGTAACCCTCTGACCTCACCTCTTTTTCCAAAGAATCCTGTTTCTTCCTTTCCCTCAAGAATTCTTTATCTTTTTCAGGTTTTTGTCTCAAGTTTGGCTGCAAAAACATAATTTATATTAGTATGCCATGACAGAAAAAGTTTTTTTTACCGGGGTGGTAGATTTTAACTCACTGAATGAAACTGTTTGCTAAAGCGTTTTGCATAATAAGCAACTTTTTTAAAAATATTTGTTTACAGCTTATGTTCTCATTCATTTGAGACCAGGGCCTAACAAATGTAAAAAAAACATTTAAAAATGTATTAAGGGAGCAGTCCGCTGCAAAAGGTAGCTAATGTAATTTAAATAGACAACAAAAAAAAAATTGTAAATTAAAGCTTTATTTTGGGCAATCAACGCATCAACTGAAAACGTATATTTTTGCCTGATCAATACATTTTAAATACATATTTCAATATTATTATTCAGGATTTATATAGCGCCAACAGATTGCACAGCACTTTACAATATAAAGGTGCCCATACACCTTACAATTTATCTGCAGATTTTCTGTGGTCAGATGGAAAAAGTGCAACAGATTGGCCCAGGTGGAGATTACTCCATCCACACAGTTAAGTGTAGATGGAAGAATCTGTTGCACCTTTTCCATCTGACCATAGAAAATCTGCAGATAAATTGTAAGGCGCAGCTTAAAAGGAAGACAATTACAATCACAATACAATTCAAGACAAGATGGCTTACAATCTAAAAGGGAGGGGGAAGTGATACATGAGGAGGTAGCTGTGTGGGGATGAATTGTTTGAGAACGTAATGGTTGAGCGGTTAGGTTGAGGTGGAATAGGCTTCCCTGAAGAGATGAGTCTTAAGGGATCGCCTAAAGGCAGTCAGGGTGGCAGATAGACGGACAGGTTGGGGTAAAGAGTTCCAAAGGATGGGAGATACTCTAGTGAAGTCCTGGAGGCGAGCATGGGAGAAGTTGACGAGGGAGCTGGAAAGCAGAAGGTCTTTTGAAGAGCGGAGGGGCCGGTTAGGCCCCGTTCACATTGAGCGATTTATCGCGCGGTAATTCCCACAATATCACGGCTATTTACCGCGCGATATCGCTCTTCAATGCTTTGCAATGGGGCAAAGGGTCCTGCTGACGCGCGTCGCTACAGCAGGACCCTTTTTGGAGCGGATTTTGCCACGATTCTCGCTTGCTCAATGCAAGCATTTGCACGATATCATGCAAAATGCGAATCGCGCAGTGTGAATGGGGCCTAAGGGTGATACTTTGAGAAAGCTTGAGATATAGCCTGGGGCAGAGTTGTGGATGGCTTTGCAAGTCATTGTTAATATTTAGAATTTTATCCTTTGGGCTATTGGAAGCCCTTTCTCCAGCGGCCGGCGTGTACCGCTCTCTGCACATGGGCTTCCTTTCTGCTGTGGTCTATGGGGTCCCCCCCTCTTGTGGGTGAGAGGTGAATATGGCAAATTAGGTTAGAAAGCATGGAGCAGAGAACGCTTCTGTGTGAATAGCGACACAGGAATGCAACCTTCCTGTCACATGAGAACGAGCACAGTGCTGTGCTAGAACTCTTGTGTTGGAGGTGACAGGGTCAATAAAGAGAACCTGTCACCTCCAAAAGTTATCACACAGGGCCTGTTACCCCTTGTGTGATAGCAATAAAGTCCAGTGAAAAAAAAAAAGTTAAATATTTAACAATGTAAAATTTTAAATACATAAAAATGGAAAATAAAAAAGGCGATAAAGTAGAAAATAAAAATTACAAAGTAAAATAAAATCTAAAAAATTAAAAACCCCCATCTGCATGCGAATAAATGCATGCATGGGGCATTGTGTGTGAGCGGAGTTGGCGATCCGTTACCGCACGGCAATCGTGCACAAAACCTTGTGGCTATACTTACCTTTCACCGAACGGTCCTTCCCATCCGCCAGTATGGGTGTACTATCTGTATCTGTGCCATGTATTCTGAATTTTGCTCGCAAAATGCAAGCACTCATTGGTCAGCGCAGTCACCTGACGGCACTGACCAACGAGAAGCTCTTCTTGGCACTGCTAAATACGGTTTTGGTAAAAAATATATTTTTTTTTTGTATCAGGACACTTAGATCAGGCCCCCACTTTAGTCCTTGGACAAGTAGTTTTTTTTTTTTTTATTTCCACACCCCTGAAGGTTGACACCTAGCACCTTGGCATGGGGGGAGGGTTGGATAGTTGTGTTATCAATCTTAAAGGAAAAGTTGGGGGAAGGTACACGGGGTGGAGGAAATATGAGCCGTTTTTAAAAGGTTGAGCTTTAAGAAGTGTTGTGACATCCAGACTGATATGTCAGTTAGTAGATTAGTGACACGCAAGGACACTGAGGGGGTGAGTTGTGCAGTAGAAAGATAGATTTCAGTGTCATTGGCATAGAGATGGTATAGGAAGCCATGCGAGTTTATTAACTGACCAAGGAAGGAAGTGTAGATGAAGGGGTCCAAGGACAGAGCCTTGGGGGACCCCTACAGAAAGAGGAATGGGAGGGGAGGAGTTACATTTTTAGGGGGAAACTAAAGGAGCACTTAGGTAGGAGGAGAACCATGAGAGCGCAGAGTCTTGTAGGCCAAGCGAGTGGAGTTTTTTTTGAGGGGCAGGTGGTCAAGTGTCAAAAGCAGCAGAAAGGTCTAAAAGCAAGAGGAAGGAGTAGTGGCCATTGTTTTTACCGGTTAGCAAGTCTTTAATGAGTTTTAGTAAAGCGGTTTCAGTGGAGTGTTGGGGGCGAAAGCCAGACTAAGGGATCGAGAAGGTTGTTATCAGCGAGGTGGCGGCTCAGGCGGCTATAGATAAGGCGTTCTAGGAGTTGAGATGAATGGGAGTAAGGAGATTGGTCTGAGATTGTTAGGGTTTTTAGGTATTGGAGTGACTACCACATGTTTTAGAAGGGAAGGAAAGATGCCAGTAGAGAGTGAAAGATTGAAACTGAGTAAGAGTGTAGAATAGAGTAAAGAGTGTGACCAGAATAGTGGTGAGGGAACTGGTCCAGGGGGGAGGGTTTGTGAGGTGGGTAGTAAAAGAAAAGCTTTGTAACCTCCTCTTTGGTAAAAGGGTCAAAAGAGGAAAGTAACAAGTGTGATGGTGGGTCTGGTACATGGATAGGGGAAGTTGATTGGACAGTGGCAATCTGATTCCAAAAATTGTATACAAGACAAATTATTGTGACCAGATGTGAGTGGTGCCACACCCCTATTTGAATCAAGAAAAACTACCGCGTTGCCTACACATCCACTCCTTTGCTCCCAGTTAAGGCTCATCAGCTTTGATGAAAGTTTGGACCATTTATTTTATTATTTCGCTTTTTTATTTATACCAATCATTTATGCAATCAATGAATTTGTCATATTCTGGATCTAGTCCATATGCTGGTATCATGTTTATCAATTGTTGGTTATATCACTAGCTTTAACCATGGAAGGGAGTGGATGTGGAGGTATCTCAACTATAATCGTATTTTGAAATAATTTTTAATCATGTTTTGTATTCAATAAAATATATTTTTAATCAGTGTGTGGTTTTGGGACTTGTCATTCGGTGCCAATAAAGCCCCACTTGCTTTATCCAGTTTTTCTTCATCCCAAATTGTATCTATTTTGTTTTTGAAATTAATGGCAATATCCAGGGCAGTGAGTGAGTTAGTGGGTGGGGGGTGGAGGACATAGAGTTAAAAGTAGAAAAGAGTTGACTAGGTCTGGATGATTGATTGTTAATGAGAGTTACAAAAAAAAGTCTGTTTGGCAGCACGGAGGAAGGAGTTATATTTTAGGAGGGCAGCGTTATACAGGGTGAAGTCTTGCAGAAGCATAGTTTTCCACCACAGTCGTTCAAGAACACGGCTATGTCTTTTTAGATGTCTGGTTTCTTTAGTTTGCCACAGTTGTAGCGGACATGGTCTAAGTCTGCGTGTAGTGAGGGGAGCCAAGGTGTCTAGGGAGGATGAGAGTGAGCTGTTAAGAGAAGTAGCCAGGTCAGGACAGGGGTGAGATTTTGTCATAGAGGTAGTCAGTAGCAGAGTGGAGAAGAGAAGGGTTGAGGTGGCGAAGGTTTCTCTGGGTGACAGTGTGCCGTGTAGGGGGATTCAGGGTTGGGGAGGGGGCGGTGTGTGAAACAGACAAGGTTGTAATCAGAGCGGGAAAGGGGTGTTGGAGAGGTTGCAAGGAGTGCATAGGTGAGAGAAAACAAGATCTAGTATGTTACCATTAGAGAGAGTAGGAGTGCGTGTCCATTGCGTTAGGAAAGGAAATGGAGTTTAAGAAGAAAATGACACTCCATACAGTAACCCAAACATAACGACCCATGAGACACTTCTCCTGGCCACGTGACCCAATAAGAAGTGCTTCTCATTGGTCAGCGTGGTCAAGTGACCATGCTGACCAATAACTTTTCACGATTTGCCAGCGTAATTTGGAATACATAGTGCAGGGCTGCACTACTGTGTATGGTGTACAGGTTGTACAGCGGCAGCCACGGAGGGGAAGGAGTGTTCGTTGAAAGGCAAGAGCAGCGAGGGAAAAGGGATGGGGACAATTCCATTTTCCTAAATTCACCTGGGAAAGCGGAGTTACCCTTTAAAAATGGTTACCCTAAAAACAAGTAATCTGGATGAAGGGAGGCCTCAGCCCAGCAGTTGGGAACCACTGCTTTAACAGGATAAAAACAAAGAAAAGTTTTGGAAACATCCACCTGTAGGTGAAAAAGGTTTACAATCTTATTCAGGGGGCTAGTATAGCACCTTTTTATGGAGTATAAATGTGCAATGCTAGGGGCATAAAATGGAAAAATATCAATTGTGCCTAAGCAGCACTCACACATACACCTTTTGTCTTGAATTGCACCTTGCTGGTGTGTGAGGGTGCCTAGGAACTCCTGTGTTAGCAGCCTCATGGCTTTATATCTGCAGTGTGAAAAATTGCTGCCTTTGAAGGCTAGCCTCATACCGGGAATGAAATTAGGTGATGTCACCACTATTCTACCTGCTAGAGGCTCTGACATTAGGAAGAAAAAGTCCTGCCTCTACCAAAAAGGCTGCCTATACACAGAGACAAAGTGCAGAACAAGGCATTTCAAATCCATAAAGGGCAAAGGATCAGCTGCAGGGAGAACACCGGCAATATTGATGACCATTTTGTCCTCTGCCTGCCTTTTTTTGGCACTGCTTTCAGAGTTTAGTTCCTCCTTTAGTCACATTAACAATTTATGCCCTTAAGTAGACAAGCTTGTCCCATGTATGGGGAAGGAGAGTAGACCTAATGCAGTAATTAACTGCATGACTCAAAACGTGCTGTATACAATATATACCCGGGAAAAATTTAGCGTGGTGTAAAGCTTCTTATATTTCATCCTCTGTTGTCCTGCATACTTTTTGTAGCCACCGCCTATAAACATGCACTTTTATCTAGTCCTTTATTGGTACTGTTGATGGTAATTAAGGGTCTATTGTGAAGTTTTTGTTGAGTTCCTCCACATACTCTCGTCTAGCACATTTTATTTCTATGGGCCATTTCAGTGTTACCTTGATATTACTGTACTTGTTTGTTACTTTTCCGTTTTGAAACTAATAAAAAACAGATTTAACCATAAAGTGAAACTCGAAGGATGAAGATCCTCTTTAAAAATGTAGTTACCGTAGATCCGAGAGAAAAATGTTTGCGCAGACGCACAGGAGAAGTTGGTTCATCTCTCTCAGTCTCACCTTCACCATTGGAATCTTAAAAAAATAAAATGTACTTTGGGTAAAAGACTTTAAATTCAACATCAAAGCAAAAAATATTTTATACACAAGCAATGACAATGGTTATATTGCATCACCCAACTTCCTATATGTCCTCCCATTCTATCTTGCAGATGGACTTTAGGAAACAACCTAGAACACAGGAAAATTATGTTGCTCATTATCGAGCTGTGTTGAAAGACGTTTTAACATTCCCCTTCCATTCAGAGCTGCCATGCAGCAATTGCTTTTCACCGCTATATGTATCCACTCTGCCGGGCTGAATAAAAGCCAGCATGGAAAAAGAGTTCCACTTTAAAGCAGATATGTACCTTGCCTAATCAGGGCAGCAAGAGTATATGCACTGCTGAGGGGGGAGGGAATCAATTATGCCCTCAACGGGCCAAGTACAGGTTTGCTTTACAGATAGTCGTCCTTCCGGCCACTACGTTCATCCGGTTTCCATCTAGTTAAGCTGGCCATGCATGGATCAAACTTATTTCTTGCTGAATCAGCTAAAATTCAAACATTTAATACGACTAGGAATTCATCTTCTGCCTTTAAGATAGATCAAAGCTTTTCCCATTCATAATTGGCTCAGTTTGTGTTAGTTTCCCTCCATAGACATAACCTGGAATTAATGTTTAATCACCTCCATTACCTGTATTTTAGAGATTTCCCCAACAAAAGTCTGGATCCAGCAGATATAAAAAAGAGGTTCCATACCTCCTCCTGAGGACAAAGTTAAATAGGTTTGTTAGGGATGGGGCTATAGCCTCTGGGTTAGCCCTTTGATTTGTGTGCATAGTCTCCATCTATCGGTTGGTGGCAGCATAGACACTAGTCCATACCAGGTTTTGCTTCCCTCAATGTGCTTCCCTCAATGAATGATTGAAAAAATAAACACAAGTTACAGGTCTAAGAACTTGCATGTCCTTTTGCACATAGGTGGTATTGAATTACAAATCTACTGCTAAATACCCAGCTCCAACCAAAACTTGATTCTGGCTAGAATAGAGGGGGAAAAGTGGAGCCATTGTAGGATTTTAAGCCCTAAGGAACAAGTTAGTAAGGGGTAATTGGGAACAAATTTGATTGAATACATTTATGTAGACAAGACCTTATCTACCTCTTCTTAACAGTCTTGCCTCACTCCCTTAAAGAGCTCCAGGATTTTTTTTATATGTATTGCTGCAGTGGGGCTACCCCTGCACTACAGTAAACTGCTAGTTTTTCTTTAAGGGCCCGTTCCGCCCCAATTCTGTCCGGAACACACTGGATCGCATTGCGGCCGGCTCACAATGTTATGGGGCGGGAGGTCCATTGAAGTGAATGGCACCGTAGCCACGCCCTCCGGCTGCTAAACGATTGGCTGCACGGGAATGCAAGGCACATCAATGCCTGCGTTTGTCATGTTTGCGGCCGAAAGCATTTCGGCTGTAAGGCGTGGCTACGGTGCCATTCACTTCAATGTACCGCCTGCCCCACAACATAGTGAGCCGGCCACAATGCCATCCAGTGCGTCGGGCCGGAACGCACTGTCTGGTGTGAACGGGCCCTTATGACAAAGATTAAGAAAATACTCAACTGATCCTCGGTCCTCTGATAATGGCTGCTCAGCTTTCCCCCTCCACTCTGGCTCTTCCTGTCTAATAGGCCTGTATTAGACGCGATGAGGTCCCAGGTCCTTAGAGCTTCTCAGTCTGGGGCTGGGCTGTGGGGAAAAGTCTAGCAGCCAGGCAGGATTGGAGTATTTATTTATTTTTGCCCCTAGAGAAAAGCAAGCAGTTTACGCTTGCAGTGCAGGGGTATCCCCACTGAAAGGCTTAATTTTTTTAAATCCTGGAGGGGTTTTTGCAAAATACTACCTGTCTGAACAGTATTCCATTTACATGTATGCATGCTTGCTCTGGAAGAAGCATGCATACATGTAAAGTCAGACATCCTTATTTGCATACTTTCAGATATAGGACAGCCACTTCCTGACTATATTCACATTATTACTTTGAGCCAGCTTCTTGATGGTGATAACAGTGGACCAGGTAAAAGCAATTTGTCAGTTTAGCCATTTGTAGCCTGAATGAGGAGTGTAATTTACAGGGTACACAGCAGGAGCACAAATTGTCGACAGTGGTCACCCCAACAGGAAGACCTTCATGGTACCAACAAAACCATTTTAATAAAAAATAATTATAGTTAGGAAAACTAAAACTTTCATTACTGCAAAATTCATGCAGTTGCAGCTGATGGAATGAGTGATCAGAAGGGTGCCCTACATCAGTTTAGAGGCATAAGCACCCCCCCTCCTCCAAGAGCCTTCTCTACACACCGTGTGCAAGCTCTTTGAGCGGATTCCTTCAGACCAGAATTATTACCAGCAAGCAGCAGCTGCCACCATTACAGCAACTCTACTGGCATAAAAACATCCACTGAAGCCAATTACCATAGGGTTACTTTTTCAATAGGAATCACTATTGCAGCAACTTATGGTTTGATTTCATGGCTTCAGTTTAGCTTAAAAAACCCGAACTTCAGGAAATATCCTTTTTGAAAAAACTTAAATTGCTCAATTCAAGTATCCATATCTGATATCCAGGGGACCTCTGGCCTCTACGTAGTTCTTGCTACATACAGCAACAGTCGTGATCTTCCAGGTGCAGCTCTCTCTGCACACTGAACACAAGGAATCACTCACATAGCACAGCCAGCACAGCCACTATTCACAGAGGGCTATGCAATTTATTTTTTCATTGAATATAAAGCGCTCTGAATGATGGCAGTGCTGTGTGAGCAACTCCTTGTGTTCAATGTGCAGAGGGGAAGGCAAACCCAGAATATCATGGCTATTACTGTATGTAGCACGGATTCCTACGGCAATTTTCAGCATCTCCAGCAACCAGTGGAATATCTGATATGAATACTTGGAGGCAGGCTGAAATGAAGGAAGATGCAGGGACATCTGTTACCTATACGTGAAGTCACAATTAAAGCAGAACTCAGGGAATTCTTCCCACCACACTGCAAGAGTTAAGTGCTCGTTTGTGCATCAGTGTTTTAAAAAAATTAAGATATACTCACCCAAAGCTCTGAGCCGGCCAGCTGTCACGAAGCTCCCTCCAGCTTTTCTCGCCCCTCCGTGCAGCATTGTAACTTCCCCAGTGTACTCACATCTATAAACACTGTATAGACGATGAGTCACAGGATGTTTGGGCAAGTATAGCGGATTTGTTTATTAACAAACTAGCAGTTAAACGATTGTTAAAGTCTTGCGTTGTTATTGCATATATCGACTGCTAGCAAGCAGTAGATATGTGCAAAAACAAAAAGAAAAAATTTTTTTTTTAATAAGGGTGAAAACTTAGTCCGAAGATTCTTGGGTGGCCGTAAAGGATCATGGGGCGGACAGATGCGCAGTAGCACATCTTTGGACGGGAGAAGAGGAGAGACACAAGGTAAGTTAAGTTGGAGGCAGCGTGTACCTGCACAGACTCCGTGGGACAGAAGGAGACAGGAGTCAGCGCTGGATAGGTGACCGGCACCAGCGCTGGAGGGACTCTTGAAAATTACTGGAAGGAAGAAGATTATCAGATCAAGAGCCATCATTTAAGGAAAGTCTTTACACCAGCATTGGGGGAGAGGGAGGAATTTAGGCTTTAATGTCACTTTAACCCTTGTAGTGCAGCGGGAGCCCCACTGCAAGGGCTATTTAAAATCCCAGAGTTCTGCTTTATTAACTACATGCACAACTTTAATCTTTTTCCCAGTTTTTTTGGCTAAAATTAGGTACCTCGGCTTATATTCGGGACGGCTTATACTCGAGTATATACGGTAGTTTTTATAGCTGCCCAGAGTTCAGCTCCAGCAAGCTTTTATGTTAAGACTATCTCAAGACTGAATATTACATATGCCCCAAGTATGAAACCATAAGCATGGAATAAGTAAATTTTAGCACAGCGTTATTACAACTTTAAAGCTTAAAACCAGGCACAAAATATGTAATATACATATAATGCTCTACAGCTGCAAAGGCTATAAATCCACTTGATGTGCACCAAATAACCTTTCAAGCCAAGTCATTACCTTGTAAAAATAGCAGTGACATCACTGCGCTCCTCATAGCCTGTGCAGAGCTGCGGGAAGGACCCAACAGACCCACCCACTAGAAGCTGCCTGCAGACAATTACAGGAGGGGCAGATACAAAACCAGTCAGCCAGCACAAGGAAAAAGAGCAGCAGCGATGGTCTTTTTTTAAAGGAAGCCCCTGCAGAGCAAAATGTTACACTGGATTACTGCACAGATATGGAAAAAATATACACAAAGCACACCAAGATTCAAGTAAGAAGCATGCTTCTTGTATTAGGACAATATGTACTTATACCGGAGAGAACACAACATAATACACACCCTTCTTTGTTCTAAACCTCTGGGACTTGTCAAATGACACAGGTCCTTTAAGACCATCAGCGGTTTTTATATCATACGATCCGGGAGCAGGAGCACAACCTGTGTTAAAAAAAAAAAAATTATAGTAATAAATGGCAATAATAATTATGAGTCCTGAATATAAAAAAGTACAGTATTTAAAGTGAGGGTGTGAAGCCCAAAACTATATGGTTTTATTTTGGACAGAGTGGGAGAAGGAATAGAACTGTCTTTTTTACTGCTATGCAGGGTCCTGTTAGAGAGATTTCTCCTCACTGACAAAAAGGTATAACCAGACCGAAGGGAGGGAAATCTGCAACAGGGACACAAATACAAATCTGACCAGGGATCTAGATGTCCCTACTCTAAGAAAAGCATTTTTATTTTGGGCTGCTGTGTGAGAGTTCCCCTCACTTCCTGTCTGGTAGAATATGGTCACCAGAACAGGACGTGAAGTTGAATGTCTCACACAGCCCTGGATATCAGTGTTAAGAAAAACCCTTAGTAGGGGTTTTAACCTCTCCCCACTTCCAAAACAAAGGATTAAAAAAAACTTTTAGCTTGACATATACTTTAGAGCAGGGGTACACAAAGTCCAGCCTTCCAGCTGTAGTGAAATACAAATCCTATGGAGGCATTGAAAGATTTTCAAAGCTACAGTCACGATTCGTAGAGGAGAATAATAATGGGATTTGTAGTTGCAGCACAGCTGGAGGGCTGGCATTTGCACACCCGTGCTTTAGTGACACCAGTAAAATTGTACAATAAGAACCTGCAAAAAAAAATAAAAAATCTGCTCACCGCCAGATTTTTACTACCCCTGTGGATCCAATAATGTAATGTATTCATTAGATTTTTTCTTCTTTTGTTCAGCTTTCCCACTGTGGAAATAGTATTTTGACAGTCGGCCTTGCGGGCTGTCAAAATAAAGTGCCTGAATCTGATTGGATGCAGGCACGTTTCAGCCGTCAGTTTCCGACCAGCTCCTTCCATTTTTATTGAAGGAGCAACCAGGGCCACCGAATAGGCAAATCTCTGGGTGACACCAGCTTTAGAGGGGAGTTCCTCTCATTTTTGGAGCACTTCCTGCTGCATGGTAGGGACATGGTTTTGGGTCTGCAATGCTTCATGGGCAGCATCATTCAGGGAGCGGTAGAGATGCGTTCTTGCATTCTTGTTGACCTGGAACACGGATTATAATAGGTGTTCAGGACCTACAGAGTCGCCGCATTCTACGGGAAAGCATATCGCTGGACTTACCGACATCCTCGTTGAACCTTTTGATAGGCGCCTTAGGGAATGACATGGCTACCGCCACTCTTCTATTCGCACCGCACGCACTGACGATCACACAGTACACACTCTCAGCTGCAAGCTCTTCTTTTAAAAACTGCGCATAGGGACCTGCACCAATTACCGACCAGCACAAGGAAACGCCTCAAGTTTGAACTGCAGCCCAATCACAAAAAGACCAGCTCTGAACAGGCAATGGGGGCGGTTCTGTTCAATAACTAGAAATCACCGCCCGCTTCCCATGATGCTTCAGTGCCGTTGCATAATGGGAAATGTAGTTCTGCAGAGTCACGTCTGCGCATGTGCATTGGTTTCTAGGCTTTTCCAGCTGACATGTCGGTGAACTTCGAGGAGAGAAGCGGGGTGGTGCCGTGTAAAACGCCGTGGGGCTGCTGGTACCAGACCATGGAGGAGGTCTTCATTGAGGTGCAGGTGTCGCCTGGCACACAGAGCCGAGATATCCGATGTAGACTGGGCATCAGAGACATAGCGCTGGCCGTGCGGGACAAGCAGATCCTCGAGGTGCTGCTGGGATCACTGATTGGTGGGGCACCACTGTGGGGGAGGAGCTTTGTCAGTCCCCTATGCTTCCAAGACATTAAAGCGTACCTGTCACTTTAGGAATCATAGATTTAAAGAGACCCCGTCACTACTCCATTTATTTCAGTTTGGGTACGCCCTAGTGTACTGTGAAAATGTAAAAAATTACATGATCTTATTGAAAAGAAAAACGCTGCAAGTAAGCATTTTCCATGCTTTTAACTGCAGGTGACAGATTTAAACCTAAGCTCTAGATAGATATAAAAGGCACAAATTAGGAATCTTGCACACAGCCACAGGAGGGCCGTACAGCGCACATCCCAGCATATTTCTCTTGCCATGAGTGATGGGTGCATGGTACAGCTGCTTGCAACCAGCCTGTAGAAATGAAGTAATGACTGGCTTTCTGAAGAAATGGCTGTACCGGTGTGTACACAACTCAGACCTTTTGTGTTTGTTTGGTGCAGTGCATAAGACCTGGTATATGTGTAAACAGGCTTACCTAAACTAATGGGAGAGTAAAATGTATAGCTCAAGAACTGAGCGATCGATCACAAACCGCCGATCACCCAGCTCACGGCTTCTCCCTGCACAGAATGGTGGCTGTCATTCGCTGCTCCCCGCAGGGATTCCCTTCTCTGCTCTCTCTATTCCTCCAGCATTCATTGGAGGGATAGACAGGGGAGGGGGTGGGCACAGATGGCTCTGGAGAGGCAGAGCCAGCTGTCAATCAGGCAGCAAGGAGGATCCTGACAATATTGTTGGGATCTTTCCCGACTGCATTATGGCTCTGCCCTGTCCGCATATAGCTAGTTGCCTGCGGATTTTGGGTCAATGTTAGTAGTAAATGTACTACTGTGACCCAAAAGAGGACTAAAGCTAAAACAAATTTGACCCTATCACATAGGGTCAAAATGACAGGTTCACTTAAAATATGAACCCCCACCCACTGATACTTTCACCTCTGATACTTCCTCTTTGTAGGCAGCAGACTGCTCTACAAGTTTAAACAGAGTCCCGGCGGCAAAAGTCACCGGGAGTCTGTTTAAAAAGCCCCGATGCTGGCGACATACACTGTACGTCGTCAGTCACGAAGGGGTTAAGAGGGTGAAAAGGCACCAGGCCACTTTGATCATTTCCTGATCAAATATTGTTCGGCCTTGTTTAAATCTGTGAAGAACTTATACCACCCTCTGAAAAGCGATTTGCGGTGGATCACTTTTTAGAAGGCAGTTTACAGGTGTTCAGGAGGCAAAACTGCCGCATTCTGAATGCCTTTGTTTTCCCAAGGAGAATTTTTAATTGCAATACCACATGTGCAACCACATGCCAAACGGCAGGCATGCAGTTGCAGAATGGTCCCATTGACTGCAATGAGAACTTTTGGCAAGTGGCACTGCCTGCTAAATGATAAGTACAGTGTTTAATTTAAATTAATAATATATTTTTTTAAATGTATGTCTATTTATTTATCAGCCTATTTAAATAATACATTAAGACAAACAAATCATGTATATGTCTTTTTTGTTGGCCTATAAAAAAAAAAAACTTCAAGCAGGTATTTGTTAAAACAGTGAAGCAGGTAAAGGTCTTGTATATCTTTAAAAACAATGTAAAGTTATTAAGGCTGACAAATTCATTAAAGAATTGTTATCAAATATGCTGATGCTGCTATAGATGCTCTGAGAATCCAGGCACCAATGACCTCTGGCCCTGAAGTGGTTAAAAACTGCAGTCACTATTTGTATTTTAGAGGGCCTTGGAATTTAAAATTGTCATGGTGCTCTGTAAGGTGTATGAAAGTACCAGTAGGCACATCTAGGTTCAACATGAATACAGAGTTTTTTTTAGGATGAGGTATGAGGTTGTTGGTTTCATGTGTTTTCATACTTCTTTTTTTCAGGGACGGCTGTACGATTCTACAATAGGTGATGAAAGTACATGGACTTTAGGTAAGGAATGATTTTCTAAATGAGAAAGTATGATTGTCATTGTGATTTAACTGGTTGCTGCTTGGAAAACATTTTTCTTTTGTTAGCTGTCATAATATGTTCTGTCTTGCCATATCTACTAAGAGTACTGAAAGCTTATGGGTTTGGCTCCCCCATGATCCACTGGATAGAGATTCTGTATAACACACCAGTGGCCAGATTGCGCATCAACAGAGAAGTGTCTGACCCGTTTAGTATCTTTCGGGGTACAAGGCAGGGTTGTCCTCTCTCCCCTATCCTCTTTCCCTTGGCAATTGAGCCTCTGGCGATTAGGATACGGGAGTCTGCCTTTATACATGGCTTGAGGATACGTGACCTGGAGGAACGAATCTCTTTATATGCTGATGATACGCTAATTTATCTGTCTGATCCGAATGGCTCCCTATGTCATCTCCTCCAGCTACTGCACATATTTGGAACTTTCTCGGGATTCAAGGTTAACTGGGACAAATCAGTTCTTTTTCCCCTGGATGATGCTACAGTGGCGAATATTCACCCTATGTCCACACTACGGGCTGTGAATGAATTTAAGTATCTGGGTGTTAGGGTTCAGTTGCCCCTTTCCTCCTATATTGCTAATAATCTGACCCCGACTATTGACTCTTCATTTGAAGACTAAACAGTGGATGGACTTACCACTGGACCTTATGGGGAGAGTCAATATCATTAAGATGAACTTCCTCCCCAAGTTACTGTATATCCTAGCGAATGCCCCCTGCTATGTTCCAAAAAGTTATTTCCGTAAAATTGACTCTGTGACGAACTAGGAGCTCAGAGAGAGAATACACAGAGGCAAATCACACGGAACCCGGCATGCGGGGTGTTTATTGGGGAAGTCAGGCATACAAAGCAAGTTACATACAAACCCAGAAGGTAGGCGATGGGCCATGGAAGGAGTAGATCCAGAGTCACAATGCTAGTAGTCCAGAGGTCAGAGGTGCAGCAAGGGTAATCCAACAGGTAACAAGGCACCGTGTGAGTACATCCAGTAAGGGTAGACCAACAGATCCCAGCAGGCCTCACAGCAGCAGTGGAGCAGAACAGGTAGGGTTAAGTCCGTATCCCTTTGAATCCACAGACAGAGACTGGCCTCAGCGCAGCTTCTAGTCCACCAGTCAGTGAGGAAGAGACCATGCAGCCTTCCCACCAACACTTACGAAGGTCCCGGGAGAGGCCTGCATGAGAGGGGAGGGAAGGGGGCGTATACAGGCTGTTGCTGAGCAACTAACCCCCACCCCATGTGTCCTTTGTTCTGGGGAGGATATAATGGAGGCAAATAGCAGACGTGTACTGGCTTATCTCGGTGCCCAGTGTGTAGGCCCCCTGCTGTTTTGATTTGCAGACTTCTGCCTTTGAAAGTCAACAGGAGGTGGGGAGGATTGGGGAGCAGAGAAATGGTCTCAGGGTTGCCAGGAGCCCCCCTCTCTACAGACTCTATTTGCATTGTGTTTCTGTGGGGGGGGTCGCACCCCTAAGGTGGCCTTGGAGGTGCTGCAGCTCCCTCGCTCGATGGCGGGCCTGGCCTTTCCTAACTTTCACATGTACTACCTGGCATCCCAACTAGTGGTGGTCCCCCAGATTGGGAACGCCTGTACGGCAACTGAAGCAGCCATACTAACCTCCTTTTGAATCCCTTCAAAATGTTGTCTATAGGGGGGTCAATCGCAACCAAAAGCAACAAGGGGCAGTAATGATTTCTGTGACTGTCCGTATTCTAAGATATGTTATCAATCGCTTATCACTATCCCAATGGTCCCATTCTCCCTACTCCCCCTTATGGGGTAATCCCGCCCTCCCAGAGCTGCAGCGCCTACCATCAGCCTCCTTCTGGTCCTCAAAAGGCATTAAATCTCTGTCTCACTTGTTTCAAAATGCGGTGATGCTCGATTTTTCCACAGCTCATGGAGGAGCTGAAGCTCTCCCCTTCTGATTTTTTTTTGGCCTACTTTCAGCTCCTACATGCGATACGAACCCAATTTGGGTTGACCGCTTTTACACCAGCCCAGTCGCCCCTGGAGGGGCTACTGCGAAGGGATGATTCGTCAAAATTGATCTCTACTTACTATGTGGAACTCATGTCCTACAGAGCCGGTAGGTTTGACGGCCGCAAACAGAGGTGGCGATCAATTCTCCCGGATCTAGTGGAGGATGATTGGGGAGACTTTGAAAGCAGTTACATGTCATCTGTGATAGCCTCTAAGGACAAATTGATCCAAATGAAATTCTTCTACCAGGTCTACTACACTGCCACTCTTCTACATAGACTAGGCCTTCGACCGACCTCGCGTTGTTTTAAGCGATGCGTCAAGAAGCTGACTTCCTACACTGTTTCTGGTCATGCCCCATCATAAGAGCCTTTTGGTCGGAGGTCACTTCCTTCATGCAAACTAGCCTCGGCTTCCCCAATATTTGCAACCCTGCGTTCTGCCTCCTGGGTCTATTTGGGGAGCTGCCATTGGCCTCAAAAACTCAGACACTCCTCCGCCTCCTTTTATTTTATGCCAAGAAGACCATTTTCCTGGTCTGGGGTAGCCTGACGGCTCCCTCCCTGAGCGAGTGGAAAAGACTGGTTGATCAGGCATTGCCCATCTATAAACTCGCGTACGAGCAGAGGGGCAACCCGACACATTTTGGCCGCATCTGGGACCCATGGCTGTCCTCATCTAACACAACTGTAGAAGTAAGGTGAAGTACTAAATGCACTCTCATCCTTTAGCCTCACAACCCCAATTCTAGACCTCTGAACCCCTGGAAGTATTTCCTACCATATTGACTGCATGTGGCTGTGTTCGATTCCCCATGTTGTATACTATCTGTGTTGGAGGGTAAATACCATATATTGAATCTTGCAACAAAATGCTTGTGTAACCTTGTAATCTTATGATGAATGAAGAGTGTTTAACCCCTTCGTGACGGGAGACGTACACTGTTTGACCCGGTTGATGTCTGTCTGAAGGTTGTTTGTCATTATAATTATTGTGTCTATGACACTTGAAAAATCTCCAATAAAAAGCATCTTTAAAAAAAAATATATATGATCTGTCTTGGGAACAGCAGGCATGGTTACATGGTTTATAACATTGAAAAAGGCTTCAGACCTGTACAGCTCCTGTAGTTGCAGTCTAAGAAAAGGGAACTCAAACACCTCGGAGAAAACTTTGCCAGTTTTGTCACATGGAAGATAAAGAAACTACTTAATGACGCCCCTTTCCCTGGAGCCTTGTACCATGTTCCTGTGTCCAAATACTCCCATATTTTCCTTTAAAGAAAGCTGAACTCCCTACCCCCTTACTCACAACCAGTGGCTGGGTTAGTTTAAAAAAAAAACTAACCTGTCTTTTGTTTCTGCCACTTTTGCCACTGAGCGCAGCAAGGTCCTGGGCTTACCTGCAAACTACACTGCAGTTAGACAGTACAGCTTAGTCCACGACTCACCTCAGCCTGTGACTGGATAATAAAAGAGCAAAAGCACACCAACAAGGTCATCCCTTGGTAAACATGCCAGGAATAGAAAACTATTGTTGTGATATGTTGCTACATGGAGAGGCATGACAGATCTGGATCAGGTCTGCCCTAGCCTCCAGACTGGCAGCAAATGCACCCATGTCTAATGTGATGTCGTGTCCCTTGCTATGGAAACACCTTTCAGTAACTATTGCATATAGAAGTTGCTATGGAGCATTTTTACGGAGTACTTTGTATCAAGATTGTAAGCCCAGGAGCTGAATCAATAAGCGCTAGAAATTAGTACTGGACAGTGGTCACTGACCCTGACAGCTCTTGGGACATGAAACAAATAGCTGACGTCTTAGGGCCATTTTGAAGCAACACTTTGGACTTTAGTAGTTAACATGTTTTTTGTTTATTTCCCAATTTGTTTCATTGGCTTTGTTTAACAGTATCCAGTTGTCAGAGTTGTATGAACTTTGCTTTTGTCTAAAATATGATGTGTTTGTAACTCATGTCTAATTTATTTTTATTTTCCTTTAAAGAGGACAAAAAACTTATAAGAATAGTATTAACTAAGTCCAACCGGGATGCAGGCAATTGCTGGCCCTCATTACTGGAAGGAGATTACTCTGCGGATCCATGGCTTCAGGATCAGATGCAAAAGAAGCTGACATTAGAAAGATTTCAAAGAGAGGTATTGTTATCTCATTTTCACAGTTTTTGATTTCCATTTGAGGTTTCCAGTAACTTGCTGTAAAACTTACCGTTCCTTACAAAAACAATCTGAATATGAGGCAAACAATGAAGCCCTGCGCAAACATCTAAACACATGTTTGATATCCTTATATGTAAACTGTATTAAAATCCAATTGATAAATCTGTTTACTCATTCTTGCAATCCATAGACTCCGGCAACACGGCATAGCCAGAAAATGACAGTCATGTTTCCAAATTTAACTTGGCAGTTTTCTATGTCACTTGTGTCTCACTGGACTGAAGTGGTGATTCTGATTTCTTGTCGAACAAGTAAGCTGAAGGCAGAGCTGTAACACTGAAAGCTGAATCATGAAATAAGGTTATCATTTGCCTTTTTGCCACTTCTATTGTTGCCTCTCTGCCCTCAGCCTGTTTATTAAACAATGATTTATTGTCATGACTGGTGGTCTCTGAAAAGGCAGGTGGCCCAGGTAGCTGCTAGCTAGGTCAGGCAATGAAGTTTAGCATCAGTGTGTGGGTCAGGCTGTGACGTGTAGCAGAGATGTGTGAATCAGAATAGAAAGACAGGTCACCAGCACTCAAAATAATTTAAATAGATGTGTCCATTTTAATTGACGATTATGTCACAATGATCAACAAAGCCAACGTTTCGGGCCGCGCAGGTCCCTTCTTCAAGGCAGAACGCTGTGACCTGTGTGCAGAACGATGTGAGGTCACATCGTTCTGCCTTGAAGAAGGGACCCTGCTCGGCCCCGAAACGCCGGCTTTGTTGATCATTGTGACATAATCATCCATTAAAAAGGACAAATCTATTTAAATTATTTTGAGTGCTGGTGACCTGTCTTTCTACTTCGTACTTTGCACAGCGCCATCCGTGGCAGTTACTACAAGCACCATCGTTCTTACTGGCCAGGACTGCTGTAAGGTGTGCGGAGAGCACCCCCACCTAACTGAATCAGAATAGGACTTTTAGTGAATTAAAAGAATGATTGAGGAGAAGTACAGATATTTTCTAAATCATCTAATTTAACTGTGTACTTGGCTGCTTACTTGGATCAGAGAGTTCTGCTTTAAAGTGTGCCTCCTATTAACCTTAAAAGTCACAATGTACAGCAACAAAACACATTTTTCTCGTCGCTTGGGAGGGACATGGGAATTCAGAGACATTCAGGTTACTTGCAAACAGAATAATTGTAAGAAAGCACCTGACTAACGCCTCCTCTACCCAGCATGCCTCAGTTTATTGCTAGTGTCTTAGGAGGATGGACATTCTTCAGATCTGCTGAGAAAAATCTATCCAAATTTTGGTAGCCTTTTTTTTGATTCTTCGTCCATTGAGTTCAATCAAGATTCCTCATTGCATTACTCAAAGTCAAAGCAATGAAGCGCCGCAAAAAGACAATCCCTCCTCAATGGGAAATCCTTAAAAGCACACTGCAGGATGCTGCCCCCCAAAGAAGCCGGGAAAGCTGTGGAATCTGGGAAAAGAAAACAGAGGGGGCGCCTTTCCTGGTGCAGATCAACTTTATTTTCAATAGTCAAAAATAAACCGAAAGATACTCACAGACATAGATAAAAGACAGCCATATAATGTAAGCTGACAGCAGATGGACATCCACTGAGGGGATCCAGTGTGCAGATGACGTGACGCGTTTCCGGGGCACGCCCCCTTCGAGCCTAAGGGCTCTACATAGCAGCTATCTGGATATGCACTTCCTCAGCCTTTCTTTGGAGGCTGTATGCTGGACGTGGCACAGCCCTGGGTAGACTCACTTATTGAGTAGGGCCCCTCTGACTAAATCACTGGGAGCTACCTCTCTATTTGTATTGCTGGGCACCATTTCTGACTTGCTGCCACCACTGGTTTTACCATGAAAAGGGTTAACACAGAGGGACTCAACGCTAATATTCACTAGGTAGAGTGTAATGCACATTTCTTCTGCGCTTTTTCCCGTCATTTAGCACAGTGGAAGCACCATTCCGCTGCTGCTCCTGCTTTGAAAAACACCACATAGAACTTCAGGCTCCTATCTGTTTCTATTGCCCACATATAGTCATCTGGACTCTGTATGGAGACACAGGAGGGACAGTCCTGTTACAAGGGTGACCCCAGCACATTCTCTCCTAACATTTCCTGGGGCCAGCTACTAGGTATTCTTTGAGGGAACCTATGTCTGCTATCTGGATTCCAATGACCCTGTAGTTATAGGATCTACAACATCAAAGTCAACTTCAGCTCCTCCAAGTATTCTGGCGTCAGGGGCCTCTACTGCAACTCAGGAATTTGTGGCCACATTCACCCAATTCCTTGTGGAAACTGATGGCAGAGGCTCTAAGCGTGCTTCAGCATCATCCCCTGCAGAGTCTTATTCTATTCATCCCAATGGCTTAGAACTGGCTAGACTATCATCCTGCCGTCAACTCAGAATTGCAAAGGGTCGTTTCTGACCCTATTTTTTTGCAGTGCATATTAGCCTGCATTTAAAGGATCAACCTACTGTCTCCAGCCTTGGGTCTTTCAGAGCTCCTGCAGCTGCAAAGAGCTTTCCACTGCACCTGTATGTGAAAGAGATGTGTGGAGCCCTACGCTAAGGCTGTGATGGCTTAAAACAAACATCAAAACTTATGTCATGCATGGGTCTGCTGTCCATTCAGATTTGCATGAGTCTCAGGTTAAGATGCTGGGTCAGTAATGCCCTATACAAGTATGTAACTCATTTGGCCTTTTCCATCCAGCTCAGTCAAATTTTAAATAGACATTTGTTGAGCCGGGTGGTGCTGACAGGAACACCTATGGCTCAAATTTACAGCTGTTTTTGAGCAGGAATTGGCCACAATTCGAGCCATCTAGGGGCATTTCCTGTTTTTCTATAGTATGCAAGACACTCTTTATGGTAGTGTTTGCTTTATTAAAAGTGCTTTGCAGAGCATTAAGCACACAGTATTCCGACTGATATATAGGCTCTTATACATGGTCAGACCATGTGAGGGGGGGGATCCTAAAAAAACAAACAAATACCACCCAAACAATAAGGCCTTGGAGGGGGCTGTATGCCTTGCATATAGGGGTCCTTCCCTGTTAACTAGTGGGATCATTTAGACCCCCCTGCTGTAAAGCCCTTTCATGTGCACCTTACTTTAAAACTAGTTATGAATTGACAAGTGTGTTTGCCATTTCTTTCACTCATTTAGACCACATACCTTTCAACCGGTGTGTACACCATTTACTAAGTTTACGAAGACCATCTACTAAGTATTTTGTTCTTAATTTAACCGAATTCTCATCTGTCTTCTGCATAGTTCCCAAATCAAAAAGTGGGAGTAAAGTAAATACTGTACATAGTTCCCCTTATTGGTTATTATACCAGACAATGCGTTAGAGCCAATTATGTTAAAGAAAACTTCAGTGAGTGCCGACTCTGGAGTTACCTGTGCTTTTTTAGAAGCATGCTTTGGCCCAGTAACTTGATTACTTCTCTTTTGGGAATCCAGTGGGAATCCGATGAAAAGAAAACTTCACATGAAACTAGTTTAGAGATTGCTGGATACCTTTTGATTAAATAAAAAATGAAGGCCTACGTCCTTTGGGAATGGGTAATATGACTGACCCAGGTGTGATAGGCAGTGTTAAAATTATAAGGTATCGAAATCAATCAAATAGCAAAACCTTTTACCGTTTTACATAAATTACAACCAACTTGCTACATTACTGCAACTATCTTGAATTACCATAAATTGCCCCTGTGCTTGATTTTCATACAGTGTTAAGAGGCTTGACTGAATTTCTATGATTTTTTTTATTAGCAAGTCTATACATTAAACAAATCTAAATGAATGATCTATGCATTTTCATCTCTTTCAGAACCCTGGATTTGACTTCAGTGGAGCGGAAATCTCAGGAAATTACAGTAAAGGTGGACCTGACTTCTCTGCTTTACAAAAGTAATCTCATTCTAGTGTGAAAACCAAATAAAGTTATCTAATTATATTTTTTATATTTGGAAATAAAAGTATGGAAATCTTTTTATTCAGATTCGTCTGGCGTACATCATTTATCCAAATACTTGTTGAAAAGTGTTTTGAATTTTTTTTCAAGAAGTTCTCTAGTAAAGTGAAGCGTTTTCTTCATAGGCTGATCTGTCACCAGTTGGTGTTCCACTTACTTGTCAAGTGCTTCCTGAAGCTGAGAGCAGTGGCTTAACCCTAATGCAGAACGTCTGCAGTCACATTACCCTGTTTGGTGCATGTACTCTATATAAACCCTTGGAGACTATTTAGCAGTGTTTTCACCCAAGAGATAAACATTTTGTCACCTACGATTTCGTTAGAAAAATGTGATTCGTGGGGGAAAACATTAATAAATAAACTCCTTCATGTAAACTTTTGTTGTCTGAGGGCTTTGTGAGGTCTGGACCTTTTCAGTAACCTGATGCTCTGAGAGACTTATTTCTGGTCCATGGATAGTCCTTTACTCCTCTGCTGTACAAGATCTTTTCTAAGTAACATTTCTGTATCAGAAGGGCAGCAGCTAACCTTGGATTTAGAAGACCCTTTGCACCCTGTGACTTGGATGAAATTCAAACTGCTGGTATCTCTGCCGACACCACCCACCTCAACCAACGTTGATTGATATAAAAATCGTAGGATCCAGACAGAAAAAAGTCAGCTGCACATTGACTACTGCAAATCAGCTGCAGTCACTGTTCAGGTATTCTGGCAGCAGAGCTTTGGAATAAAAGTAGCCACCCTCCAGAAGGAAGGACAGTGTCGGCAAGAATTCAGAGATGATTTGAGGATCTACAGCTGAGTGATACACAAATAAGTAACATTTATAGTTAAAGTAATATTGGAGTCTACTTTTTTTTTAGATATATCTACTGTTAGCAAGCAGTAGATTTATGCAAAAACATTAAAGAAAAAAAAAGTTACCTAATAGGTAAAAACTTACCTCTGTGGATGAATCTCCCCCTTGGCAAAGCTTCAGTATCTTGCTAGTTGGCCCCGCTGGCTGTCAAAATACCTGAACAATCTGATTAGATGCAGGCATTGTTCAGGTATTTTGAGAAAAGGCCAACTAGCAAGATACTGTACTGAGACTGAGGCCCAGTGGCAGATTCCTCCATCCACACAGTTTAGCGTAGATATTGGAATCTTTTGCACTTTTTCCATCTGACCATAGAAAATCTGCAGATAATCTATAGGTGTATGTCCAGCTTTATAGGTATTCACAGCCTTCTTTCTGAGGGCCTTAAATAGCTTGTTTGACCATTTCATGATGACATCACACACGTCAATAGTAAAGAGAACACTAGACCCTACAAACCTGAGGTTTTGAACAAAACTGGTTCCACATACATACTCCCTAACTATGCTCTAAGCATTGACACCTAATCTGAAACACCGGATTCAAATGTTATGGATTTGAAGTGGGAAGGTTTACTCTGCTCGATCTAGCAGAGTAAACCTTTCCCTGCGATCCTGGTTTTTTTTTTTTCCTGACATCGGGGCCGCCATCAGTCAGAGAAAAAAAAAACAAACAGCATATGAATGCATAGCTAGATTGCTATTGGCTAGTTCACTCTGCTATTGGCTAGTTCACTCTGCAATAGCAGACTAGCTATTGGACCCACCCACTGCTACTGTCAATCAGCAGAGGTGAAACTGAAGTTCTCCGTCAGGTCTTCTAGTGATTGACAGCAGCAGTGGGCGGGTGCAATAGCCAGCTTGCTATTGGATGTTGAAAATTGAAATAGCCAACAGCAATCTTGCTATTCATTCCAATGCTGTTTTTTGTTGTTTTGTTTTTTACTCTGACGACAGCAGCTGTCAGAATATTTAAAAAAAAACAGCAGATAGCAAAGAAGCTACTGCTTCCCATGCTATCTGCCATCATTTCAGGGGGGTGCTCTCTCTCC